AGGACAGCTAGTAGTTGGGATCTGTTACAGGCCACCTGATCAGGGGGAGTCTGTTGATGAGGTCTTCTTACTGCAACTGCAGAAGGTGTCACTCTCGCAGGCTTTTGATCTGATGGGGGATTTCAACCACCTGGATATCTGCTGAGATTAATGGCACAGCAGGTGGCAGATAATTCAGGAGATTCCTGGAGTCTGTTGAGGATGCCTTCCTGATCCAGGTACTAGACAGACTGACCTGAGGTGAAGCCTTATTGGAGCTCATGTTCACTAATGTGGAGGAGAGCATTAGAGAGGTTAAGATTGGAGGCAACCTGGGCTGTAGTGGTCATGCCTTTGTGAAGTTTGTGATCTTGAGGAATGTAAACCTGGCAAAAAGTAGAGTCAGGACCTTGAAATTCAGGAGACCAAAATTCCAGCTGCTCAAGGAGCTACAGAATAGAACAGAGAACAACTTGCACTTGATCTTGTTGAACCTCATTCTGTTCTCATGTGCCCAGTTTTTGAGTTCCTCTGGATGACACCCCTTCCTTCTCCAGCATCAACTGCAAACTTACTGAGGGTACACTTAACCCCATTCTCTATGTCATTGATGAAGATATTGAAGAGCACCTGTCTCAAACGGGACCGTGGGAGACATTACTCATGACTGGCCTCCACCTGGACATAGAGTCATTGACGATAAGCCTCCGGCTATGACCATCCAACTAATTCTTTATCCATTAAATAGTCCAGCCTTCAAATCCATATTTCTCCAACTTAGAGGAAAGAATGTAGAGTGGGACCATGTCAGAGGCCTTGCACAAGTCCAGGCAGATGACATTGCTTGCTCTTTCTTTGTCCACTGATGCCCTACTAGAAGGCCACTAGACTGATCACTCATGATCTGCCCTCAGTGAAGCCATGTTTGCTGTGTCAGATCACCTCCTTATGTCGTATGTGCTATAAAATCTGTCCAATACCTTAACCAGAAACCTATCACCAATGGACTCCGAAAGTTCCTGGGTTTCTTGCATCTTTCTGTGTTGTTTTCCCAGCAGGTACCTGAGTGGTTGAAATCTTCCATCAGGATAAGAGCCTGTAAAGCAGGCCGGCAGCAGAAGCAAGAAGGCCTTGTGAACAGGTCCTCCTTGATCAGGCGACCTGTAGTAGACCCCAGTCACCAGATGTCCAACTCCTAATTTTAACCCAGAAGCTCTCAGCCTGTTCATGACCATTTCTGAAATGCAGCTCTTCACAATGTATCCACTTTTTAACACAGAAGGCAACCTCCTCATCCATCCTACATTGCCTGCTTTTTCTAAAAAGCTTATCAATCATAGTATTCCACTTACATGTATTATTCTACCATGTTTCTGTGATAGTAATAACATCATAGTTTTCCAGTTTCACCATGGTTTCCAATTCCTCCTGCGTATATCCCACGCTACTTCATTGGTATACAGGCATTTCAGCTGGGCTTTTGGCTGCATTGCCTTCTTGGAGGAGCCCTACCAGAAACCACTGGGACAAATATGAGGATTTTTCCCACTTCTTCCTAAAGTGACAGTGTTCCCCAACTTTTATCTGTCATTCAACAGTACATTCTTTTCCCCCATCACATCTACTTTTAAAACTCTGGTGATGAGCCCAGCCATCTTGCTGCCTAGTATATTCTTGCTCCTCCTGGTCAGTTGTGTCTCATCCCAGGTCAGCCTTCCCAGCTTATTGAAGGTTTGTCCTAGAGCATAGAAACCAAAGCCCAAAATGTGACACTGTCCTTCCTAGTTCTAAACCACTATCTGCATCTTTTTCTTTTTCCATCCCCAGAATTTTATACCTGTTGGATAGTGGGAACTGAAGGCTTCTCCTTTCGCCCAAAGTAGAGACAAGGGTCCAATCTTCCTCATCCTGCATTTTTTTTTTTTTTTTTTTTTGTTTGTTTGCCGTGTTAGATTGGAAATCTGCTTACCTTCTTCTCCTTGCTTGGACCTAAGATGGGGTTGCCAGTCTGCCCACGCCACTGCATTATATCAGGTGTCAGTGTCTCTCTATGACTGCTAGATACATCTCAGCCTGGTGACTTGCTCTTGCATCTTGGTCAGCTGCTTAAAAGTATTATCAAGCTGGATTCACTTGCACCCATGATACTTACCTCAGTCTCTTGGGTGACTTCACATCCTGAAGCTTCCCACAACCAGAGATCTGGACAACTCTTTCGTTCCCTGGGAAGTCCATCTGGGTACACACATCAGCCCAGAAGAGTTGTGGTCCTGGGATCTGAGTTGCTGCCTCAGCCTGGCTTTTGCAACAGGTGGTCACCACATTAATCTCAGTAGGATGCTCAATCTGCCTGCATGAACTGATGTGCAAACTGCCATATCATACCCTTTTGACATGCCATGCCCCTTTTGCCCATCCTGTTTGCCATGTTCCTGAGAGCTGCACTCCCTAAGAAGAGCCTTTGTAGGCACAGGTTTGGCTGCCGTCACTCCCAGCTCTGTCCACACCACATCAGAGCTGCCACTGTTCTAGGCTCTGCTCTTCCCACTCATGGGGACTGGGGACTCCCTTGCTCTTCCTGAGACTCTTTTGCACAGTTTTCCAAGATTTTCTTGCAGTCTTGCCTCTGTGAAGGATCCCGCAGTGAGAGCCTCCACTCCAAAGTAAATCCTCTTGATGTTTTCAAGGTCATCGATGAAGATGCTGAACAAGACCAGGCCCATTACCAACCTCTGGGCATCACTGTTAGTTACAGGCCTCCAACTGGACCCAGAGTCATTGGTCACAACAGTCTGAACTCTGTTAGTCAGCCAGTTTTCTATCCACGTAATTCTCCACTCATCTATTCCATGCATACTAAGCTTCTTTGTATGCATTTTGTGGAAAACAGCGTCAAAGCCTTGCTGTAATCAAGGTACGCAACATCTACTGCTCTCCCCTCATCTACCCAGCCAGTGATTATATCATAGAAGGCTACTTGATTGGTCAAGAATGGTTTTCCCTTGGTAAATGCATTTTGACTATTGCTGATAATATTCTCATTCAATTGCTTGATGGTGACATCCGGTGTATAAGTTGCTCCATCACCTTCACAAAGATGGAAGTGAGGCTGACTGGATACTTCTTGTTGATGTTTTTGAGTGACATTGGATGCCCTGCAGTCTTCAGGCATCTCCACCATTCTCCAGGAATTTTCAAAGATGATAAAGAGCAACTTGGCAGTAATTTCAATGAGCTCTCTCAGCACTCTTCATGGCCCATGGATTTGTGTGCAATTGATTTTGCCTAGACAATCTCTAACAAGATTCTCCTCAACTAAGTGGAAGTCTTCCTTTCCCCAAACTCTCTCCCAAGTAAATTCCATGGAATTCCATGAATTCCATTTCTGACAGGTAGTCTTACCAGTAGAGACTGAAGCGAAGGAGTCCGAAATTACGAACTGTGGCAGTTTGCTAAAGTTTAGCTTATTCCTTTGTGACATATAAATATTCAGTCTGTCATTTTTCAGAGGAAACTATAAAAAAGAAACCTCTGAAGTATTATTAGAAATTTCTAAATGGTGAGTGTGTGTGTGTGAGCAACACAACACAATTGTCTGTGCAGATACCCTCTTTTGTGTTATTTATTGCTTCTTTCTTACTTAATGTCATTCAAATAACAAGATCATGCAATTTGACCAGGATTTGCACTTATGTGATATGGTATCTCACATTTCCATTACTGTGGCTCCCAGCCATCAGATAAGATGTGGTCATATGAATTCCTTCAAACTGTTGCCATGGTAGAAGCTAGCAGTTCTGACTGATAGGCTTGTGTATGGGAACTGCTGAGTCACGGCCTGAACCTCTGATTGATCTCCTGAGGCGAGCCATGAGTCAGCCAGAGGAGCACAGGTGCAGGCAATTCACCTGTGCTGCCGGAAGGGGTGGAGCCAGGCTGCACCTCTCCTAGACCTATTTAAGAGCTGGCTACCAGTGGGGAAGGATCTCTTCTGGAGATCATCTCTCTTGGTGTTTTGTGGTGAGCTCAGCTAAAGGGTAAGCTCTTCCACCTATTCTCTTTTTGTGATCGTTGTCCACTTTGCCTAACTCTCTTGATTATATTGTGATTGTAACATCCTGATATCTATTGATTATACAGCTTGTAACTACTCTAACTACTTGCAGCAACAAAAACAGATCTATTGGATTTTAAGTTGCAGGTATTTTCTGTATTAAAACCGAACTTCAGTATCGAAGTACTCATTACAACACCTAAGAATACCTGCTGCAAGTTCTCTAGCTCCCTGTGAACAGGTCAGAATACACGTAATAGCTGCATAGGTCTTTATAGTCAACACTAATGAGATCCAAAACATTAGGGGTCCTTTCTATGTAGATTAGTAGCACATGCTAAAATATCTGAGCTTAAAGTAAGCAGAGGTCTATTTAATCAGTGATTAATACCAATGTATTCCATTACTGAGCTGGCTGGAATAGTCACTGCTGTGATTAAAACAGTGCCCTTATTATTGTTCCTCTGATTCGCAGTGTGAATAAGTCTATCATCCTCCCCTCCTGATTAATAACTAGCTGCCATAGCACTTCTAATGCAACATTTTCATTAGATTCAGAAATAGAGCACACAAAAGGACAAGCAAATTATCCTGGATTTTTTTTTTCTCAGATAAATAAATGCTACAAGAGATCAAGTTTTTATTATTAGCACTGTGATGTTAATGAAAATTATTTGACTTGTATTCACCTCTTCCATTTCCGTGTAGTTTTTTTGTTTGTTTGTTGTTGTTTTGTTTTTTAATTCAGAAAGCTGAAAAAGAAAGAAGAGGCTGCAGAAGTTTGAAAAAAAAAAAAAAAAAAAAAAAAAAAAAAAAGTGATTCGTAGTTTTTATCTATTTATGCAGAGAATGTTCTCAGGAAGACTACATTAGGAAAAGATTGTCTAGTTTGCTAGTTTAATACTGCTGAATAATGAGCAACTTTCTATAGCACAAAAATGATGGTGTTTACTTTTTGTTTTTCCAGGAACGTCTCTTGATGAGTCTTTTGCCTAGGAATGTTGCAATGGAAATGAAGGAAGATTTTTTGAAGCCTCCTGAAAGGATTTTCCACAAGATTTACATTCAAAGGCATGACAATGTTAGGTAGGATAGATATCACCCATGAAATAATTTAAAAGAGAGAATGTTCAGAACAAATACAGTGACGTGCACTTGTGGACAGGTTTTAGAATATAATAGACAATCAGTACTGTGATTTGTTGTATATTGTCAAAGGGGGGAATGGATCCACCAGAAAGACTTAAGAAACTCAGAATATAACATCAGAATATAAATATTCTGATATAAATATATATTCTATTTATATTCTGATATAAATTAATATAAATCAGAATATAAGTTAATAAGTTTTGAATATTAATGCTGGGAAGTAAGAAAATTCTTTTCAAGGAAATGATCGTTCTTTTTGTACTGCCTCGCATTTTGTGTGAATAAGAGAATATATTTTGTATGGTAAAAATTACATGTTTTTATGTAGTTTTCTGATAGTAAGATGGATTACTTTCTGTGCAATAGCTTTTCCAATAACATAGAAATACAGAAAATATTATGCAAACTTAAGAACATGTCCATCCCCATCATACAAGCATTCATCTTCAGAACAGGTTATTTATCAAGGCCCAATTCTATTTCTTGCACTTCTTCACTAACAAGATCTAGGTAATGACTGTAAAAATAACCTCATTCATATTGATTGTGGTTAAAGTGAATTCTCATTTTCTGTCCTCTTTGCCCCTCCAAACACATTCCTTAAAGGATTTATCTGAATTATGTTGCTTTATGATACTGTCTCTAGTTACATTTTTTCCACATAAACAGTTTCAAAGAGACTTATACCATCCTTGTACTGAGTATACAGCTCCAATAAGAGATGTCACAGAACTGTCTTCTCCTATGATTTTCACCATGTGCTCATGTGGCTAAGGAGCAAAATATGTAAGTTCCCCTCTCTCTTATCCTGAGGTTTATTTTCCTACTATTGGGTTTCAGCCTATCTCTTATTGAGCTGACTCTAGTATTTGAAAACATCTCTTATTAGTTACTAAGTTGCTGCAACTAGAATTTTGAAAGTCAGAGAAGCAGAGGTTGCTGTAATGGGAGTGCTTAGAAGACTAATAAATCAGATCAGTTTTACACTGTAAGCTAATCATAAAATCACAAAATGCCATCATTGAGTCCTGCTACTCGCTCCTCATGAGATCACCCCAAATTCACACCTTAAATATGAGCACACTGTCCAAATGTTTCTTTACTCCATCAGGTTGGTACCATGACCACTGCCCTTAGGAATGTTTCAGAGCCCAGCAATCCTCTGATGAATAAACTTTTCCTAACATCCATCTTGACCCTCCCCTAATGCAGCTTTCTGCTGTTTCTTTGGGTTGCATTACTGAATTTATTAATTAACAACACACTTCTTACCAATGGTTAAATCCTACATAAAGTTGATGATCATCATTACATATAAAAAAACTCCTGGTCTTTAAAAAGCAACTTAAAGTTAGTTGTCAATGTATGAATATCCCAGAGCTCATTCTGCAGAGTTAACGTTGTTGTTCATGAGCTTTGGTTATTCTCACTTGCCACAGTCAAGGTTGTCAGGGTTGTGAGTCCCTCAAGGAGAGAATTCAAGACTGGAAAGTGAACTATCTACTTCCTTCTCTATTTTTCTTGTTCATTTTTCACACTTTTAAGCTGTTATCCCCCTACTAATATTGATTTCCCTTTTTTCTTCTTCTTGCCAATCTTCTTTCTCTAGGTGGTGGCCCACCTATTTCAGTCACTTGTGCTAATTTTTTCTGCTCTGACAGATTCTTGTTGCTTGGGTGCCACCTCTTACTGTTTTTGTCCCTCTGGTCATCACATTGCTCATATGCCTGTAAAAAGCTGTTTCTGGTTATTCCATCCCGGTGCTATGACATGCATACATATGCTGTTGGTTGCATTTATATTCAGGCTCAGTGCAATCACATGTCATCCTAACAAGTTCACTGTCATGGTTTCAGCTGAGACAGAGCTTTAGGAAAAAAAGAATGTTGATAACATACCAATGTTTTAGTTGTTGCTGAACAGTGTCAGTGTTGTACAGAACCAAGTATATTTCAGATTTTCAGCTTCTCATACTATCCTGCCAGTGAGGAGGACTATGGGGGAACAAGGAGTTGGGAGGGGACATGTGTACAGCTGACCTAAACTGGCCAAAAGGGATATTCCATACATGTTGTGAAAAAAATATAAAACTGTGGGGAATTGGTCACAGGGGCACTCACTGCTCAGGGATCAGCTTGGCATTGGTCAGTGGGTGGTAATTGCACTGTGCATTGTTTGTTTTGAATACATATATAATTACTATTATTTTTTCTCTATTCCTTTCTTCTCATAGTAAATAGCTTTTATCTCAGCCTACGTTTTCTTTTTTTTTTCTTTTTTTTTTTTT